TCTCGGTTGACCCGCGCTGTCAAAGTAAATAAGTTGAAGGAAAGTTTATACAAAAGCGTTCTGTCAGTAGAAGATAGGCAAACGAATAGAATCACAGAAGTCGTTTTAAGATGGAAGACAACGTTGTTTGAGCATTAGTTGGACGATATACAGAGAACAGTTATCGTGGCGCCTTTTTCTGCCTCATATTTCTGCCCATATTTATCAGCAGGAGAACCGCGCAAACGACGGTAAATATCTAGGAAGCCGAAAGGACAAGTTTGAGAAAGCAATCACTAGCTACATATATCTAAAATACCTCCATCAAATGGAACATAGCGAAATGTCAATTTAAGAAGGCACGAGTGAGATGTTCATGATGTAAGGAATTGGGAAAATAAAGTCTCAAACTTGTGACTGCTAATATACTGTTTTATCCGTGCATTATGACTTCACTGATTGCGCTCGAATTGTACCAATGTATCCTTAAGCTTCTCCTATCTTAGAAGGATGGAAACAGTATTTTGTTTCGCTCACAGCGAAACATCGCTGCGTTGGCAAGTCAACTGATTCAGCCTCTACATCGCCAACGCTCATGAGCCATTGGACTGTACTAATGATAAGTTTCCTATATCCCGTTGTTGCGGGTGTTTATTTTAGGTATTCGTAGAATCTTATAACGCAAGGATTTCATAAGGAGAATCGACTCACTATCAACAGAAATGACTGTATGCAGCAGGCAACGGTGCGTTTCCATGGGTATTTTTCCAATAAAGTGAAAAACTCTGGGTCTATTCATACTAGAACGAAATTGTAATAATCAAAGTGTGTCACTTTATGTGGAACCGGTTTGGAATTGTAAACTTATCGGAAAATGCGAAGAAAGTGAAAAGTAATGAGGTATTGCTGTGAAAAAGATTTGTAGAAAGATAACTTGATGTTCCCACTCACCAATAGGAAGAAGATAAATAGGGCCAATCCCGCAATAGGTCGACTATATAGCTCGAGGTATGATTTGATCGCCGAGAAGCAACCCTAAACATATAACTTGAAGCATTACATACCCGGTAATAGATCGCATCATTGTGCGCCCCATTTTCGAAACGTGGTGGACCATATTGCCAGTTCTGGCATTGTGTGATGCTTCGGTAAACGTCTGTTGGCCATCCTGTTAGGGGATCAAATATAGTCAAGCAGCACGAAACCGGCACCATCTTGTAGAAATAACTATTTTCTTGGGAGGCTAATTATAAAAATATTGTACGTACCTGATAATTTTGAGGACATAGCGAAGATATCCACGTTAACAGAACGGTCCCACCACGACTCTCTGTATGCAAGCCAGCCATTATCTACGACGGCACAACAGCGCAAGTTTGCCTGAACAAAGTTCCACGCGTCTGTCACTACGCCGCGCTTTCCGAATTCATTCGTGAGTGTTTCGTTCATGGTCGAAATAACGGCTGTTTGAAACTATTATATTAATGCGGTCATTTGAACGATCTTACAGCAGTTGGAAAAACAGCTAAGCTAACGCCACCACCGAAGAGTAGTAGGAGCATTATTATTAACAAGACAATGTACTACGAGTCTTAAAATATAACATGTTACCTACCAGAATAAGCAGCACACGTCTGTATTTTGAAATTGCAAAGTGCCCAACAATCGAAGTCACAAAAAGAAGTATAATTGTAAAGAGTACAACGTATACGGCCACGTTGAATAAATAATTTCTCACAAGTTCTGGAGTGTTCGCGCGGTTTACGCACATGTATATACATACTGCTAAAAGGGCAATGCCAAATAACTAAATTTATTATAAATTCAATACAAAAATTACCCAGAAGAGAAGATTAATGAAAAAAATAAACAATTTTAAATCAGACGCCCGTGGCCTAAACCACTTCGCCTTCGGAGGAGGCATATTTTGAAATATCTCTCAAAGTTAATAAATAACACGGATATAGTAAAAGAACGTCAGCTGCCGAAGCGCAGGGTTAATATTTCCACACAGTTTCTTCAAGTTGTGTATATGTTAATAAATAAGTTAATTGGAAATCCGACGACAACTGAATTTTCTTATTCACTGTCCCAGGATAATCACGGACAATGCCTTCATTCGAGCTCCGCCATATGTTTCGATTCCAGGAATTAGTCTCTGCATTTTGACAGAGGCGGACCTTCTTAAAAGTAAGGACCTCGAAATGATTTCTTTGCAGATTCCCTCCCTGCGAGGATGGATCCGGAGGTCAAATTGCCTTATGAGTCGGTGACAGGCTGTATGCTGCTGCCAAGTGCAT